TGGTACTGATTATGCTGATAAAGTTGTACTTTTTAAAAAATTTTAATTTCCTGTAGTTTCATGAAATATCAATTTCCCTTATCTGTTTTGAAAAAGAGGATAACTAAAAATAAAATTACAAATAAACATGATATTACCACTCAAAATGTGATTTTCACTATATATATTTTTGCCATTTTATGGTCCCAGAATGAAATATCAACTAAATACAAAGTAACTACAAAGTAAATACAAAATGATAATAAATAAATAAACAATTATGAGAATTTCCCTCAAAATATGATGTTCACTATTCTTTTTTGGCCTAAGAATGAAATATTAAATTTATCACCCCTTTTACCAGGGTAATATTAATTGTTTTATTTATTAATTCATTCTTGGTCAAAGATTGAAATATCAAAATTCAACAAAATGAATATTCATAAGGTTCACAAACATGTTCTTTTCTTGTGAGAATTAAGATACATTTTTTGTAAATAAAAAGATCTAATAACGAAGAAAAAAAATAACAAAAGAAAAAATAGAACAACTAAATAGACAATGTAAAAATCATTTTTTGGCACAACTTGACAACAAATACACAGCTACTTTTCCATAGGTTCTATTTCTGTACCAAAAATCTGTAGTACTGGGAATCTACTTTTAATATTCAGTACTATTTCGTTATTTTAAAATTATTGTGATATTTAGGTATCTGTATTTTACAGTACTTGATTTGTACTTTAAATTTAAGTACTACAGATTTTTGGTTACTACCGTTACATTTTCAGCATTTTGAAAGATTGTCTATTTCAAATCTCTTTAAGTTATGATTTTCAAACATGGGAATATTGTGATCACTGTTGGTATTATTTCTGTACCAAAATTTTTAGTACAAATCAAGTACTGTAAAATACAGGTACCTAAATATTACAATAATTTTAAAGTAAAGAAATAGTACTAAATATTAAAAGTCAATTTCCAGTACTACAGATTTTTAGTACAGAAATAGTACCTATGCAAAAGTAGCAGTGTACTGAAAACATAATTATCAATATAATATAATCTATAAATAAATTACAGCTGACCTGTATCAACCCACAAATAGACATGGGGAAAAACACACCTACATCATGGACATTTAATGCATAATTATATACAATTGCTTAATAAGGCTTCATAATCTAGATTTTATTAAATCAGTTCATCATTTGATAGAAGATTTTTTTCTTTGTGAGATTTTGATATAAATTCATAGACCCAAAAAAATGATTTGAGAGAAACCAAAGCATGGCTGAAAGTAATATATTATGACATGTTTAAAACAGGTCAATTTGGGTCAGGCTTAGTCCCACTATGCTTTAATATAAAGTGGACTATTTTAAATAGTAAATAAAAATCATGATAAATGGACTACTACTCTAGCAAGGACAACAAAAGGACAGAAGTTTATTAATAAATATGCATGTTTCATATTGACTCTGTAAAATTGCGAGCCTTGGTGGCAGATTGGTCAGGGGTTGCTATTCAGAGGTTACTATTTGGCATAGTTGGTTGGTACTTAACCTAAAATTATTATTTTACTGAGTGTCAATTTTTAACCAAACCTGTAAAAATAATCTCCAACATATCAAGATATCAAACAAATATTTTGAAATCCTCTTCTTAGCACCATTTTTTTTCATAGCAGATGGCTATGGTTAAATATTTGCTTATGATTCAGGGGGTGGGTGTTTCATGGTTCCTAATTCCCTACCCCCACTTCCCTCCAGCTCTTTACTCCAAATTCCCTTCCCCTATTTCGAAATCCTTCCCCCTTATTATCAGACAAAAATTGTTAAAAAAAAATTTCCCAGAATATCCCTATTTTAACTCCCCCTCTTCCCCCTGGTTCCTGCCCTCAGACTACCGCTTCCCTCCCATCCCCTCATTTCCATGTTCCCTTTCCCCTGTCCAACCCTTAGGATTGTACTGCAATTGATTACATAAAGTGCTATGGGAATACAGAAAACAATGACATATAAAGCTCCGCCTATTCACATGAACAAACTTTTGATTGACAGGTAGAATGCATAACATGAACAATAACTGTATCAGGTAATGAAACACTTTTCATGAGGAAACAAAATCTTTTAAGTCTATACCAATTTAAAAAATATTAAATATTAAAGAAAATTCTTACAGAATGTATAATAAACTGTTAACACAGAGATATGTCTCGCCTATTTGTTATTTTGATAATGCAAATGTTGAATTTAAAATAGCAATACTTTAACATGTAAGTTATGCAAATATTCAATGTCAATGAACCATGACTGAAGCTACAGGGCTAAACCATCTCCATAGAAATGAGATGTGCTAATGCTAATACAACTGCATACCAAATACCATTGACTTTTCATAAGTTATTCCCTTTAAACAAAGCTAAACACAAACATTAACTTGTAAACTATGTAAAAGTCGATGAACCATAATGAGGGGGTGGGGTTATATAATCTCCATGGAAATGAAACTTGCAAATTCCAATACATTTGCATATCAAATATCATTGACTTAACATTAGAGGTTCATCTTTAACTGACCTAATCACAAACTAATACATGTAAAATATGCAAAAGTTTCAAAGTCGATAGACCATGACTGAGGGGTAAGGACCAAATTTTCTCCATGGAAATGAGATGCACTAATGCTATTACAACTGCATACCAATTATCATTGACCTACCACTAACGGTTCCCCTTAAACTGACCTAATCACAAACTAATACATGAAAACTAAGCAAAAGTTTCAAAGTCAATAGAGCATGACTGAGGGGGTGGGGCCAAATAATCTTCATGGAAATGAGATATGCCAATGCTTATACAACTGCATACCAAATGTCATTGATCTACCACTAGTAGTTCCCCATCTTCATGGAAATGAGATATGCCAATGTTTATACAAATGCATACCAAATATCATCACAAACTAAAACATTGCTGACGCCGTTGCTGACGCCGTCGCCGGAAACAGCATACCTATGTCTCTCTTTTTGACTCCGTCAAGGCGAGACAAAAATACTTCATCTCTCTCAACCAAAGTTATCTCCCATTTGTATTGAGAAGTCTCCTAATTTTTTTTTTTAAATGTGCATTTAAAGAATCAGAATAATAGCCAAAAGAAATAATGAATAGAGGAAAATGAGCAAAAAAATTAAAGAATAAAAAATGGGATGCAAAAGTTAAAAGAATAACTGTGGAAAATAAAAGAATAAGTTAATAAAATACTGAGACATAAATGAACGATGCACAGAATAAAGAAAAAAATTAATAGTAAAATAATTGCCTTTAGAATAACAAAGAATAAGTGTTATTTCTAACGATAAAGAAAGATAAACTAAAAATTAAAAGAATACAGAAATTAAAGATCCACATGAAGACCCTCTTCTATTAATGTAAGCATTATCATTCTTGTTTTATTTTTAGAATTGAGAATTGAAACAGGGAATGTGTCAAAGAGACAACAACCTGACCAAAGAGCAGAAAACAGCCCAGAAGCTAGCTTCAGGTGGTTTCTTAGATCAGTGAAATGGACACCATACTAAACTCTGGATTATATGAATGAACCAAAATTAAAAAATATACTAGACTAACAAAGGTCAGAGGTTCCTGACTTGGAACAGGCGCAAAAATGAGGCTGGTTAAACATGTTTTGTGAGATCTTATCCCTCCCTTATACATCTAGCTAATGTTGAAATAAACAAATACACAGCAATATGCACTCTTCATGAAAATGATATATTTTTAAACACATGCAACAATAGGTAATCTTCTAACATTTTTTTAATTACTTTTTGGAATAAAAGAGGGTATAACCTGTACAAGATAAAAATAAGAAGGTTGGGTCAGAAAAATCGGTGGGATACATAAAATATCATAAACATATTAACTAATTTGGCACAACTTGTAATATATATAGGTATATTATCATGTATAAATTGAAAATATAACAATGAGACCATACATAAAAAAGACTAAAACAAAAATTATAACAGATTATACTGCAATTAGCTGTGTTTATTTCCTAAATATAGTAACAAAGCTATATTTAGTGCAATGTCAATTTCATCATGGATCACTTTTTCCACAATCAGGGGTTTATTAAGGGATGAAAATAAGTTTGAAATTTGCGCTACAATTTAAATAGCTATCAATGTATGAATTTAAGTTGCAATATAAAAACAATATTAAGTCAATGTCAGAAAAATATAATTTTTTTTGTATTTGCCACAAAACAGGAGTGGCTCGGTAAAACCTCGCCCTTCCCCAGTTTCTCATCCTCATACAAAAAAGTTTATATTTTTCTGACATTAACCTAATATTGAATATATATAAGTGCTACAGTGGATTCAGTAAATTCTATGGCAACACATGTTTATCAATTGAAAAAACAAACATTCAAATTCCAGGTTAAAAAATTATCAACTTTTTTCTTTGATTACTATACTTAGAGGCTGTAAAAAGTTCTATTGACCCCCAAAAAAAACAGAATCAACTGTTATGAGCATTATTTCAAATAGTATAATGCCTTACTTTCAACACTAACTCCAGATCTTCACAAATAATAATAATAATAAAAAGATAGTATATATTGCACTATTTCCCTTAACAAATGAAATAAATAAAAAAACTTAACTAGTGTCGTAAGACATTAACCAGTCTTGTGTATATATTGCACTATTTCAAATAAATATAAATAATAAACAACTTTCATAAGACATCAAACAGCTAAGTGTATATATTGCTCTGTTTTCAATAACTATAAATTAAAAAAAAAAATCTGTCATAAAAACAAACATGTGATTCTCCCGACGAGAGTCAAAATCTCCTGATTTTTAAGCCCTCCCTCCCTTTTATATGTCAAATGTTCAGTTTTGAAAATTTCCATACAAAAAAATTTGTCTGTCTCCATTTTTTTATTACCATCAATGTCAAAAAATGAAAACATCAACCAGCCAATAAAAAAATCGTCTTAATTTGAAAAAAAATCAATTGAAAAAGAAAAAGCAGTGAATGTAATGCATCTCAATCCTTAAATATTAAAAATGGTAAAGATACAAAGAAGAAAAATATTTCAAAGATATTTAAGTATCAACCTTGGTACACGTAGTAAAAATTAGTTGAGTCAATTGCAACTATATATTAAAACTGCATAAAATCCCAACCATGCTAGTTTCATGATTAAAATTAACTTGAAATTTTATCCCCTGGCATAAACTTGATCTTTAAGGAAGAACAGATTCAAGGATAACAAAAGTGCAAAACTAAAATCCATGAAAATTAAAAACATTACAGTACATAAATCTTCAGATCAATAAAAAAACATATGCATTAAAGCCAATTAAAGTGAACACATTTTATATCAATATTGCACAGGTATGAATTAAATTGTTTAATTCAATTAAAAATTAGCATTTAGTCATTTACAAAACTTTAAAAGAGACATAAATTCCATTTTGTTTGATTTTTCCAATATAAGTAAAATAGTAAATGGACCAGCACATCAACAGGCAACACCACAAAGGGCTATTCCTTAAAAACCTAAATGGGAAACAGGGAAGACACTTTGAAAAGTCCACTATGGGTAGGTGTCAAGTGCAGTGACAGTTTCAGTGAAATTCTAAATCAACCCCATTTTGAAAGTGCCTTACCTGGGTCCCATGTATGTTCAAATTAAACAGCCCTGATAAGAATTAAAAACTAATTATGAATCATGGATTTTTTTTCAAAGAGAAGTTCATCTCATCACTTACCATTTTCTTAATCATATTAATGAATTAGCTATTTGTTATTTATCTAGTATGTGCTTTACTTTCTAACCAATTCATATTTCATATTTTTACATTTTTTGAAAATTAAGAAATAGTTAATTCTTATTATTTAAAACTATCTCCCCTTTTTTCAGAGTTATTTTAAAAGTTTATATGTCAGACAAATTTTTGTAAAGATTTTTACACATTTTTTTGAAAAATAAACAAAGAATTCTAATATCTAACAATTATCTCCCTTTTTCCAGGATATAAAATATAAGTTTAAATAATATACCAGATAAATTTTTGCTAAGATGACCTCTTGTTGCCTTTAGTTATCTTCATGAGGAACAATTATTTCTTTAAGGAAGAATCTGTTCATTTGGGACTTTATTCTTCTTCATGAAGAATAATTTATACATTAACAATGAAATCTGTGTTCAGATGAACCTTTAGTCTTTATGAAGTTCTTCTATAAGGAAGAATTCTTCATCAAGACATGCCTTAAGTCTTTAAAGTTATTCTATAAGGAATAAATCTTGGTCCAGATGTGCATTTTATAGTCCTTATATAATTATTCTATAAGGAAGAATTTTTCATTAAGACATGCCTTAAGTCTTTAAAGTTATTCTATAACTAATAAATCTTGGTCCAGATGTGCCTTTAGTCTTTAATATAGCTATTCTATAAGGAAAAATTCTTCATCAAGATGTGCCCTTGCATTCCCGAGTGACTTGCTACTTGTCAACTTTGGTTTGTTCTTTATAATATCATCTATATCTCTACTAACTTCTTCTTCTTCATATTCAGCTTTTGTGTACAATTCACTTGGCAATGATTCAGATCTGTTCCTGAAAGTAAAATATAAATTCCTATAACAGACTTTTTTTATATTACTGTATATTGACTCTGGAGTATACAATTTTCTACAGGTTACGCACTCTGTGGTAGGAGTCCCGTAGGACATTCTGGTACTTGGTCAAGTAAGAACAACTACGAGTTGTAAAATCAAACTTACAATTGGTGCAATTTATATAATTTATATGATGGCATAAATTAATTGTTTGAAGTTTTCTATACACAACATAATCATAGGAAAATAGTTAATTTTCCCCCCAATTAGTCTATCAAATCTGACAGCCAAAACATTGGATCCATTTTTGAAATAGAAATAAAATGCTAAATCACTTGTTGTACTGAACCAAAGTTTGTTGAGGGTTGGTCCTGAAAAACTTCTTCAGAGGTTTTTGAAGGCACTTTGAAATTCATATAGGTGGTTGGGCAATTAGAAAATGGAAATCACTTTAAATGTTTTGGTGGTTGGGATTAGAACAAGTGTCTGCAAAATCCCCCATAGAAATTTTCTGTAATACACAGCCATTAACACATTTCTACATGTAATGTAACTAGAGGTTCTAAAGAACCTGTGTTGCTCACCTTGGTATATTTGCATATTCAACAAAGGACACTCTCCAACATTGTAGACAAGAATAGTATTCATGAGAAAAATCTCTGTTTTGTTGATCTTATATTACTGATCATTTAGTCTGTTTAGTTTCTCTCTTATATATCTTCTTTAGTTTTTGCTCAAAACAGAAAGAGAGTAAAGTGATCCTCATTTAAAGACAATCACTCCCATGAGGAGTGACAGTCTACTAACTATATCAGCAAAATTTGACTTGTTAGTAGATCTTGACTTGCTGATCATTTTTGTGATTTAAAGTGTCTATTTTTATATTATAATTTTAATCATATAAGCATATAAGGCAAAAATGCAAAAAATTGGTAAAAATCATCATTAAAGGGCAATAACTCCAATAAGGAGTTATCATATGATTTCCTCAATGTTGTCTTTATTGTAGATCTTGTCTTGCTGCTCGTTTTTGCTTATTCAAGTTTTATCTATCTATTATAAATTTTAAGATATAACTTCAAATAGGCCAAAATAAATAAATGGTGTGTTTCCGGTTTCCTGACTCTACCTCCGTTTCCGGAGCCGACCCTATACATTTTATTGACAAAAATAAAAATGAAAATTCAAAAATCCAGATTTTTCAGTATGTCCGTTTCCGTTTATTCGTTTAGAATACTATAGATCTTCAAAATGTTTGATAATAATGACCAATATGGATAAGTAAAGCGTTTCAAGGACCAAGATTTTGAATGAACAAGCATGGCTTTTCGGCAACCGTGTAGCGTATAAGCTATCAAATATGCGAAATGTGATCACATGGACGCAAAATATAATGACATCGAATCGGATAATTACGATATGATGAATCTTTTTGAAGAACACATGATGGACCTAAAGATGAAAAAAATACGAAGTTGACCCATTTTGCTCAATTTCTTTGATTAGGTACAAGCAAGATTTTTTAAATATTTGTATATATAATGATTTATAGTGTATTCAGTGTATATACATATATTAACAAAATCTAGTCTTGTACCTGTGCTTCTTTGGACCAAACGTCAGAATCGTTTAAGGTTGGAAAGACTGTATTTGTCGGTTAATTGACAAACAATTTTAGAGTAAAATGAGTTCTATTTACTGCCAAAAAATCAATCCTGATTATCCAGCATTTGTTGCAAAAAACGCTCTTACGAATGTTATGCAGATTTGGGCTCAGGACGCAACATAAACAACTGTTATTCCTTTTTAGTTAATGATGGCAAAAGGGGGGAGGGGAGGGGGGGGGGGGGGGGGGGGGGGGGGGGGCAGATAATGTGGAATGAGAAAGTGGAAAAGAAAAGAAGCTTTCCCCAGTGGGCAGACATGGTGTATGATTCATATTCATTTATAAATGAATCTGCCCCAGCATCATGTCTACTTTTATTCTTTTATATTTTCTCTGGCTGGTCCCATATAAACAATTTATACAAGAAATGGAAAAAAAATCATGTCATATTTATATCTGCAATTTATTTGACCAGCATTGACCAGTAGATTAAGACAAAGATTTCACATTTTCAAAACCTGGAATTTTAATATTGTCAGAACCACTCACTCTTCAAGATCACATTCTGTCAAACATCAAAACACATCTGTAAATTAAATAAAGAGGGTGCAAGGGCAGAGTATTACCCCTCGAAAAATCTTAATTAACTGCTACTTAGCATCGGTTCACAGTGTTTTCAAGGGCTACTTATCTGCTCCCACATGTATACCCTGTGTGACATTTACATTGTTAGATTCAACAAGGCCCATCATAATAACATACCATGCCAGAAATTTCACTGCCATTTTTGGTTTAAGATAATAAATCGACAAGAACATATTCCTATTATGACCATTGAAATGCATTAAATTTTCATTAAAGTTTATTTTCATATTTCTGACACAGAACTAAAACAGAAAAATCAAAAAGCTGTAGATTTAATTACTATTGGAGTATTCTAAATATCAAAGAAGCAGGCACATCAAACGATTTGATTTGGAACTTCTTTCTACTGTCGTCAATAGAAAAAAAATTAAATATTTTCATAAAATAAAATGTTTTACCTACCTACCCTACCTAATTTTTTGGAGGTGAAATAGGAAACACACTATTAATTTATTTTGGCCTTAATATAAGGCAAAAACGCAAAAAATTGGTAAAATCATCATCAAAGGGCAATAACTCTAATAAGGAGTCTACTGATGATTTCGACCATGCAGACTTAGTTGTAGAACTTGTCTTGCTGATCATTTTTGCAATTTAAAGTTTCTCTCTATCTATTATAGTTTTCAAGATAATAGGCAAAAATAAAAAAATGAAAAATAAGGTAAAATTTGTCATATAAGGGCAATAACTCCTATAAGAAGTCTGACAGTTTTGACGTAAATAAACAATAGGTAGAGCTCAAGATTCTGAACATTTCTGCTCCTGTCAGATTTCTCTATTTGTAACAGTTTTCAAAATAATAGACACATTTTTTAAACCAAATACCCAAATGATGATTGTTGGTTAAATTTGGCCCAGTAGTTTCAACAGAGAAGATTTTTGTAAAAGTTAACTAACGACGACTAACAATGGATGCCACGTAATGAGAAAAGCTCACTTGACCCTTTGGGCCAGGTGAGATAATAAAAATATAACTAACATCATGCATTTCAATTGTATTAAAATTGTTGTTACAGTGGACCTTCTAAGGAAAATTTAAATTAGGAAATAAAATTTTCTTACCATATAATGTGTATAAATTGCTGTTTCATAAAAAAATAAATGGAGAATGACATAGCTGATGCCCCCACGTGCATAAAATGTTTTAAGGTACATAACTAGAGAACTGTAAAAATGACGCCACCCAAATTAGAACTTGATCTGTGTTTATGATAACAAGCATTGTGTATAAGTTTCATAACATTTGTTAAGGCAAACTAAAGATAAAGAATGAAAACCAATTTGTGACGGACTTTCGAACAAATATAACACTTAATGTCCCCTTCGCCTAGCGGTGGGGGCATAAAAATAAACTTGCAGGAAATATGGGGATTAGTTATTAAGGACACAACTTCAGTCTGTCTGTTAAAAGGCGGGAAAGTCTTGAGAGTGAAAATAAAGGAGTTATTTCACATGTGAGATTATCTGAATTTATCACAATTGAAAAATCATATAAATCACCATGCTCTATATAATAATATTATGTTACTTTCAACTATAAATAGCTATAACCTGTAGCACATGAATGATTACTACATTACATCATTAGGATCTATCAAAATTTATGTTTAAAAAAAACCAAACAACTAATGTCTTACTTGGAAGAAAAGCAGTAGTCTGGCCAATAGATTTGTTTGTCACCAAAGCTGAAACTCTCATCACCTATCAGTTCCTTTGCCCAGATGAGGTTGTTATAGGGAGGTAAAGTACCTCCTAACTCTGCAGGTAATACCTCTTTATGTATGTAGTTGTGTAAGGTTCCTAAGTTGATACCATGCATATGAATCTAAAATATATCAAAAAGTAATATTTTAAACAAAAAATGGAATCATATTTAATTTTGCTTCTTAAATCCTACTCCCTTCGTTATGTATGATGATCAAAATTAGAATTGGGACAATTGACCGTGATCAAAAGTTTTGTTCATTAATACTGTGGTTAGACTTTATATTTTGAATTCAATGATTGTTTCATGCATCAGTTGTACTAATCTTAATACATTTCATTGTATTTGCAGAGTTCTTAAATTATGTTTTTCCCTGTTGGTCCTTAAAGAAAATCTTCTATTCCTCACTATTATTTCTATTGTAAAATACCAAAATTGTGTCAGTCCTTTGCATTGATATTGAGTTTAACTCCCATTTCTGTTCTTTCTACATGAGATTTAAACATACAATATCTTGGAAAAATCATATAAGTTTTTGTATTCAATACTTGATTCAAACTCTAAGGTTTAATTTGTACAGAATCTGGATATCCATAGAGGGTAGATGAATATGATAAAAATCCACCCAAACTGTACTGTTCAAAACAGTAAATAAGTCTGGGTAATACATTTGAATAATGAACAAGAGGCTCTCAAGAGCCTGAATTGCTCACCTGTAATTTTTTGCTTAAATCTTTCATCAATGATTATTTTTGCTTTTCAATATATATTAATGAATGGCTTAAAACTTTCATTGAAATGTTCTTTGTATCTGTCATATTTTCTTCAAAATCAAAGAAATGCATTTTACCCCTATGTTTCATTTTAGCCATAGTGGCTATGTTTCTTGACGTACAAGAAAATAAAATACAAATTTATACTAGATACTCTGAAACTCATTCAGCCCAAGTTTTGCTGAAATTGATTCAGCAGTTTCAAAGGAGAAGATTTTTTAAAGTAAGCCAACTAAATGAACAAATTGTGAAAAATTGATTTTAAAGGGCAATAACTCCTTAAGGGGACAATTGACAATTTAGGTCATTGGAACTTATTTGTAGATCTTACTTTGCTGAACATTTTTGCTGTTTACAGTTTATCTTTATCATTAATAATATTCAAGATAATAACCAAAATCTGCAAAATTTCCTTAAAATTACCAATTAAGTGGCAGCAATCCAACAATAGGTTGTTAGATTCATCTGAAAAATTCAGGGCTGACAGAGCTTGGCCTAACAAACATTTTTACCTCCATCATTTAGCTCTAAATGCTTTGGTTTTTGAGATATAAGCCAAAAATTGCTTTTTACCCCTACGTTCTATTTTTAGCCATGGCGGCCATGTTTTTTACGAAACAAAAAATAAAACACAAACTTTATTCTAGATACCCTTAGAATCATTCAGCTTAAGTTTGGTTGGAATTGGTTTAGTAGTTTCAGAGAAGAAGATTTTTTAAAGTTAGAAAACATAATAAACAAATTGTGTAAAATTGTCCTTAAAGGGCAATAACTCCTTAAGGGGTCAATTGACAACTTTGATCATACGAACTTATTTGTAGACCTTACCTTGATGAACATTTTTGCTGTTCACAGTTTATCTTTATCATTAATAATATTCATTATAATAACCAAAAACTGCAAAATTTCCTTAAAATTACCAATTTAGTGGAGTAAACCCAACATTGGGTTATCAGATTCAACTAAAAATTTCAGGGCTGATAGAACTTCACCTAATGAACACTTTAATCCCCATGTCAGATTTGTTCTAAATGCTTTGGTTTTTGAGATATAAGCCAAAAACTGCATTTTACCCCTATGTTCTATTTTTAGCCAAAGCGGCCATGTTATTTGACGAAACAGTAAATAAAACACAAACTTTATTCTACATACCCTAAGCATCATTCAGCTTAAGTTTGGTTGGAATTGGTTCAGTAGTTTCAGAGGAGAAGATGTTTGAAATAGTTTACACCAGATGGACGACGACGACGGATGCCAAGTGATGGCAAAAGCTCACCGTTCCTTTGGAACGGTGAGCTAAAAAGTGATCTCCATTTTATAATTTTCTAGGGGAGACAAATTAAATTTGCAATTTTTAAAACATCTAAGGATGGCTCGTCTTGAAAATGTATGCAATATTTGCCACTGGACATCAACAAGCAACAATCATCAATCTAGGTGAGACAATTTATATTTTAAGCTTTTATTAAAGCTACATCCCACTTTCTCTAACTCACAATAATACAAAAAAGTGTCTACTAGATACAAACCCTGTCTCTACTCTTTTCTTTAAGGAAAGGCTTCAGTAACTTAAACATAGCTTCTATATACCAAGGCTGGTTAACAAAATGTACTGCTCCAAATCTGGCAGGAAAACAGTCCTGTAAATAAACAAAAATTAAAAAAATTAAACATTGCATTGTATAAAGCATTGATTGTAGTTGATTCAACTATAATCACTGACAAAGGAGGATAACTCAAATTTTAAAAATTACTTGATATTTAGAAAAAAATAAAAATTTTGCAATTTTTCCATTTATAAAGGGGCATAACTCTAGAACGGTAAAAGTGACACCACCAAAATTCAAACTTGATCTGTGTTTTATGGTAATAAGCATTGTGTACAAGATTCATAACATTTGGTTGAGGCAAACTCAAGTTAGAGAACGGAAACCAATCTTGGGACGTACGTACAGACGGACAAGGGTAAAACTTAATGCCCCCACCGCTACAGCAGGGGCATAAAAATACATATTTACATAATCAAATCAAATAACATGTATTCTGATCAGACCAGAAAAACAACTTAATAGATCTGTATATATATCTAAATTTCCCAATCGGCCAATCATATTTATTCTTACAGTTGCAACAAAAATCAACCTTTGACTAAGATCATGTAAATCCAAATTTTTTTTTCACATCTTTAAATGATTCTGTTACATGTATATTTGCTAGGCATTGTACCAACAGCAATCAATCAGAAAATTATTTTAAATGTACATATAATCAATATGTGATAGAGTTAAGGATTATAAAAAATACATAGAAAGCTGTGTTAAATAAAAAAAAAAAAAAATTATGTTTCACGAAAAGAAAAATCAAGTGTGATCTTTCATTTTTGCAAATTACAAAAGTTTCCTATTCCTTAACATTCGTTCTGAATATAAATTTTATATTTGCCACTGGACGTTAAGCAACCAATAATCAATCATATTCTTAACAAAGAGTTTATTGCTGTATTCAAATGAAGAAGACAAAAATAGATGAAGAATGTGTCCATGGGACAAAGATGATGCCCCCACTTGCATATAACGTTATAAAGGGGCATAATGTGAGAACAGTAAAAGTGATAACAACCAAATGTTAACTTGGGGCGTGTTTTTTTGTTCTTCGGTAGTGAGCCAGAAGAGGTCCATTTCTGTTTTTTTGAATAGGGAAGATCTTCTGGCTCTCTTCCACCTCTTCTTTTTTGATAGGTAGTTTAGACGGCAGAGGCACATAACAAACATGGCGTCGTTTAGTCTAAATGACATTAATAAATTTATGAATGCAGATATATTAGAATGTGAGCTGTGTTATAAACGTTTTTATGGTATGACAGTCTTAGTAGGACATCCCTGTAGGACGATAAGCTGGATAAATATAAGAACTACACGGACAATAACAGTTAAGGGACGACTATTTGATATTCTAGGGAAGGGATTTTGATTGATTGGTGTTTAACGCTACTTTCAACACTAAGTTGGGCTATTCCATGGTGGTCAGTTTAAATTTATAGATGAAGGATGGGGAAGGGAAGAGGGCATTATTAACTTTTTTAATCTGTCGCTAATTATGCCTATTTTTTCAGCTCTTACCAGGCAACCATATTCATATATGAAATCCTCCTGTCCCCCACCCCAATAAATGAATAAATATCAAATGGTTTTTCTTCTTATTTAACACAAGTTTAAATTGATTGATTGTTTGTTGCTAATTTTTAACGCCCAGTGACAAATATGTCATGCATGTTCAGGACTCGGTTTAGGAAAACACGAGTTTAAAAGTCAGGTATATAATATAAAAACGAAGAGATGTATGATTGCTTATGAGGCAACTATCCTATGGAGTTCAAATATGAAGTGGATGTAAGCAATTATAGGCAACCGTATTTAAGGCCTTCAACAATGACAAAACCCGATACTGTATTAAAAGTCATCTACATGTATAAAAGGCCTGACGTGAAAAGTGTGAGAAAGAGTTAAAATGAAAAAACTAACCCGGCCTAATTATACAAAACAAAATATCAAATATGAGTCGAGACATGAACCAACGACAACCACTAAACTATAGGCTCCTGACTTGGGACAGGCACACAAAGAATATGGCAGGGTTGATATAAAAACGAAGATTGCCAATGAGACAACCCTCCACAAGAGACCAAATGACACAGCAATTAACAGCTATAGGTCACCATACGGCCTTCAACAATAAGCAAAGCCCATACCGCATAGTCAGCTATAAAAGGCCCCGAAATCACAAATGTAAAACAATTCAAACGAGAAAACTAACAGTCTAATTAATGTACAAAAAAATAAACGAAAAACAAATATGTTACACAGCAACAAACGACAACCACTAAATTACAGGCTCCTGACTTGAGAAAGGCACATACATACAGAATGTGGCGGCGTTAAACATGTTAGCGGAATCCGGCCCAACCCGCCCCCTAACCTTTGACAGTGGTGTAACAGTACAAGAACATGTTTGTGAGCGCTCAAACCTTCCCGAAACTGGGACAGTGGTGTAACAGTACAATAAGAACTACCTGCACAAATCAATTGCAATTAGATTAACTCAAAAGATCGGTACGTGACACACAAAAAAAACTTACATTAAGACAATACAATGTACATGTAGATGCACACAGCAACGAAATACGAGTATCTGCAATTACTGGAAGTTTGTTCAAAGCTAATAACAACTAGTACTGAAATAAATCTTGTTCTCCCAGACTGAAGTATCAATCAGTACACAACCAACGGATTTATAAAAAAAAAAGAAATAATAGTTAGGGCCAGAAGATTTTCTTCAAGGACCACCAGAGAAAAATGATTTTGAGAACTTTCCGATTTATCTTTGCTTTATACAAAAATAATCCAGTTTGGTTACTTTAAAAGAAATTGGATAGATTAGATGTCCTTTTTGATCATATTCGAGACAAACGTTGACGAATTTTTGTGCAGTTTAAGATTATTCTTAAAAATCAAATAGTGGGGGTTTAAGCCAGATTTGTCTAGCAAAATTGAGTTAGAGGAAAGAACAAAGAAAAAAGTCACGAACAGAGGACACTTTTACAGTCATGTCTACCGGACGTATCTTAATTTTCTATAAAACCATCGTAAACATCATTTATGTCATCCAACATAACAAAAATCTGCTATATTCGACGGCAAATTGAATTTTTGTTTTGTTGATCTTCCGTATAATATCTCCAGAAGAGGTCAAGATTCATTTTTTTGGACTCTTCACCAGAAGACATTCTGGAGATGTGCAGAAGAGACCAATAAAACACGCCCCAGGTCTGTGTTTTGTGGTAATAAGCATATTACATGTATATAAGTTTCATAACATTTGGTTGAGGCAAACTAAATTTAGTCTTAGAGAACAGAAACCGACTATGGGACGTATGTAAGGATGTACAAGGGTAACACTTAAAGCCCCCTCCACTGATTGCGGGGGTATAAAAATGCAGCAAGGCTTGACATCCTACCATAAAAGGTGACAAATATTAAACATACCTGCAATCCTTCTATCATCTGTTTCAGAACTTTTGGGCTCAACCACATTGACTGCTTAAAAGTAAACTGACTCCAATCAACTATTACAACAAATCCATTAATTTGAGCCTCATCATCATCTATTAACTTCTCTAACGTCAACAAGATGGATCTGTATATAGAATCTAGGCCATAGCGGCCATTGTCCCAGTTTGCAGAATACAAAACAAATATTTTCCGACCAAAATGGTCATGGTTTGGAAGAACTCCTGGAAGACCATCAAGTAAAGCATCCTTTATTCCAGTCTCTGATGCCTGGAATTTCTTGAAGATATCTGGATTGTCCTGACGAAATTCAAAATATCTCCCATACAGCTTAAACGCTTCAAATGTGTCAAATTTTCTAGCCCGCAGAAATCGTAATATGAAGGTATCATCTGTCCTTAAGAAAGCTACAAAAAAATTAAGCAATAGATATCAATTAATAATAAAATTCAATACCATCAACTTTAAGTACATTTATATATTGTTAATTGAAATTCAGAAACTTTTGCTATGCTTTTATCTTTATCATTGTGAAATTAGCAACAGGATACATGTAGGTGTTGCAAAAATAAAAACTTGCAATTAAAATTTTTATAGTATTGTTTTGCACTACTTATACCTGTTGTTAATATTAATATGGTACAATATACCTGACTTACTTAATTTATTGAAAAGAGTTAATGTCAAGCATGTCAAAACTTGCATATATTTCCTATTCTTCAATGTGATATTTTCTGTTAATTCATTTATTTTCCTGGATATTGACCTTGAACCATGTATACAATTTGAACTCTAAAACATACTAATATCTGGTCTTGTGATAATCTGTTCTCGTACTCCTAGTATTGCATCTTTTATTTCATCAGGGTCCTCATTCAGCTCTCGTTTAGCCTTCTTTTTAAGTTCCTCTGATAAACCCCAACCAAATTCTGCCATGACTACTCCTATATCTATACATTATGTTCAGGACTGCAAAGTTAAAATAGCATTATTCAGTAACAAGTTAAACTTTATTAGTTTAATCCTTCTATAAGTAACATAAATGGAGAATGTTTCCATGGGACATAGATGATGCCCCCACTAGCATATAACGTTATAAAGGGACATAACTAGAGAACTGTAAAAGTGACGCCACCCAACATCGAACTTGATCTGTGTTTTGTGGTAATAAGCATTGTGTATAAGTTTCGTAACATGTGGTTGAGGTAAACTAAAGCTAGAGAACGGAAACGAAAAATTCAGCATTTATAAAGTTCAAAACTCCAGAACAGTAATAGTGACGACACCCAAATTCAAACTTGATCTGAGTTTTGTGGTGATAAGCATTATGTATAAGTTTCATAACATTTGGTTGAGGCAAACTAAAGTTAGAGAACATAAACCAAATTTGGGACATACAGACGGACGGAAAAGGGTAAACTTTAATGCCCCCTCTCCACATGATATTGCTTAACTTCAACATGTTGAAGATTATAAGAAGGCACAAGTGGGAAGGTTGCAGTCACCTGAAATTATGTTTAACCCAACCACATTCTGTAATTCAGTGGTTGTTGTTTGTTGCTGTAAATCATATTTGTTGTTTTGTACATAAATCAGTCTGCTGTTTTTCTTGTTTGAATTGTTTAACATTTTGTGATATATGTCTGTGACCGGTAGTTGCTTACATACATGCCACTTTATTTTTGGTGTATAGTTGTCTCATTGGATGATTGGCAATCATACATTTCCTTATTCAAAGTCCACATTGTTAGTATATGATTTTAAGCAATACATAAATGAATTGTTCAGTTGTGAACCTGAATTTTAATCTGTTAGAATTTATAAAGGTCAGGAATAACCACCAATTGGTGGATTATACCTCAATTGATGTATAATCCACCAATTGACATATAATGGTATAGACCAATTGACGTATAATTCTTTGTTTTTCAAAGCAAATTATTCAACCAAAATGGAGCATTGTTTTCTTAAAACCATATTATTGTATGAAAACATGTCAAACATTCCTAGTTTAGTATAGTGACATAACATATTGCATTTAATCAATAATTGTATTTGCAGTTTCTTCTATTGTTATCTTGTCAATTCTCGATTGGCAAATTTACCACTTAAATCACCTGTCAATGGACATCAATACTGTCTGCAGTCATGTGATTATGAGTACAACTCCGCAGGTAAATGGAGCTCTTTGTTAATACTTGACTTTCATTATTAAAAGTCAATCATGGTCAATAGTAGATGTTTCAACAAAAGAATTGTTATACACATGCATTCTCAAGAGATGCAGCAGGCTTTGACAAAACTGAAACTTTCGGAGGACTCAATAATGGTCATAATATAGGTTGTAAGCTGCAAAATGATGCTCCTATCTCACACTAGCATTTTATTACAAAAAACTTGCATTATACCTCAATTGGTCTATACCAATATATGTCAATTGGTGGATTATACGTCAATTGAGGTATAATTAATCCACCAATTGGTGGTTATTCCTGACCTGTTATACTATTAGTATAATAGTTCCAGTTTTAATTGGCATTTTTATACCTGTCAAAGTAAGTTAGTAAGTAATCTTTATTTAAAGTCGGGTTGCATATATATACATAAATATTATAACAAGAACCATGATGAATGTCAATCATTGAATCTATCTACTACTAGGGGTGTTTATGTAAAATTTGATATGCATCTCACCCATCTGTCAAGTCTGCCCACGAGTTCACGAAAGTTTCTTAATTGACACTTTTGTCTGTAAAAGAGCCCCAAAAATTTCCATAAAGCATTGCACAGGAATCAGAAATTTTATTGATAGAGAGTCAGGACTCAGGTGTTCGGCATAACAAGATGATAACATTAACAGATAAGTTAGACGTTTCAACAACAGAAGAGAAGACTTTTCATTGGCTTTTTATACTTACAAACTAATATGCATTCCAAGAGTTAAAAATATCTCAAAAGTTAACATTCTGATTTCTTCTGGGACCAAAACAGGAATGTTTGCAGATTCGAGCTGTCTGCTAAATTATCATAATACAGTGGCATTGATATACATTCCGTAAAAATAAATATTTAATGTTTTGAAATGATTATTTGTATAAATATATTATGCAATTCGTTTTTATAGTTAAGTTATTGCAAAACAAATATTATTATTATAAAGTAATAACTGTTATTTTATTTATTTGTAATTATTTCGTGCTGTTTATCACACATGCATAAGTAGTTTTTGACTCAAATCTGGAAATGCGTTTAAATTCCGTGTATCGCTCCCTTCAGCGCAATCAGAGACATCTAGACACAACTAATCTATATATTTAAAATTATAGAAATTCATTCGAGCAGAGTCAATTCTTATGTACATTCATTAATAAAATTATTCTCAAATAATGTAAGAGGTAATTGACACAAAATGCATGCTAACTGTACAATGATTAGAACGAGCTGACTCGCCGGGGAGCCTACTATATGTAATGAATGAGATAAATCAACAGGTAAACGTCTTTACTTCCAGAAAAAGTCAGGAAGAAGGCTATATCCTGAACTTTAAATTATATCACTATTTTGGTGAATTGTAAATGAATTTTCATTTTTTATTTTTTGCAATAAAATTTCTCTTCTGGCAAAAGTAGTGAGTGGCCTTTGCCTTTTACAATAGAATACTAAATCAACCAGATCTGTTAGATTACAGTCACCGCTTTATATATAGAAGGAGTGCCCCAAAAACAGAAATATGATTTATTATAGGCAAAATTACAGAAAAGTTTGTGTCCGGCAAACTGACATGGTCCTCTATCTCCTTATTCTCAGGATTGCCATCTTTTAATCCTACCGACCGTGCGAGGGCTTTATTGCCAGTCACGAACGTTAAAAAAACCCATAAGTAAGTAACTTTTAATCCTGAAGCCGCACATGTATTGAACACAAAGACTGCACAGCAACGTCTGTTTATAGTATTTTATTTTGTTGTTACTAATTGGCGGACCGTCGGGGAAAGCTTATACATATGATATGATTTTGCTTGTTACGCGTATATTACACGATTCTTCTCATGATTTTCGTATTCCGTGGCCTTATCAGTCACGGTCAACTAAAATGTCGTCGGACGTCCGAACAGTTTCGCTTAAGCCTTTGGCTACTTTTAGGCGAAAGATTTCCTTCGAATTTCATGAGATTTGATTAACATGGAAATCCATGTACAACCTGGGACTAATACAGTTTGTATGCTGGTCCAATGTACGACTCAAACTGTAACCGTTTTTTTATGTGTTTATATAAATTGAATACTAGAGGGGATGACATGATTTTGGGACTGTGTGGGATATAGCGGGGATAAAAAAGTGGGCATACGCGGGGATATAGGGGTTAAAAAAATTAAGGATGCACGTTGGATATAGGAATCGAGTAAAAGGGTGGGGTCTGCATGGGGAAAGAAAGTGAAAAAGTCGGAAGTGGGATAAAATACAAGAAAAAACCGTGTCATCCCCTCATACTAAAATTAATGTTTAACTGACATTGGCATATGCATTACTATAATCCAGCTGATCCCCACAACATGCAAATATTTCCGATAAGCAGAAATTTTGTATAAGTGCCGGCAATCTGTGCATGGTAATTATACGCTTTGTTCAGACCCGTTGTCACTATCAAAGTTTAATTTCTTGTACACGTTTTCTTGGATAAGGTTTTTGATAGATTTTTTATAGTGACAACTACATGTCAAAGAAAACTTTGATCAAACACGTTGACGGACTTGGATGGAATGAATCTAATCCTATTTTTCCTGAAACATGGATGGATTTTGACGGAAATTATCCTAAAACAGTGCAGTTTCTTTTTACCAAGTTTTTGATGAAACACTTTGATAGTGGCAACCGATGACTTGGACCAAATTACCTGGTCAAAGAGACAACCGCGCCTTATGGAATATTCAATTCTTTTCTATCTAGTAGTACACTTATGGCGAATTGAAGCCAAACATATAGTAATACGGACCAGGTATATAGACCAAAAACTCTTGTCTGTCGTTAAAGGTCGTTTGTCCATCTCCAGATGTTTATTAACCTTTTTTTTGTATTTTTGGGTTGGTGTCCAGAGTTCTCGAAAAGTGGTGGTCCGAGGGTTATTTTTGACCACCAGGATTTTGCAAAGGACCATGCAACATAATTTTGGTATTTTGAAACAGAAATAATAGTGAGGACCAGCAGATTTTCTTCTAGGAAAACCAGGAGAAAAAAGATTTCAAGAACTCTGGGTGTCACACTGCTGCATCGCCGTTCATCGGTCGTACCGTGACGCCGACCGGTACAGAATCGAAAAATATTTAAAAAATAATCAGGTTTTTAGATGATTTATTAGACTAATTATGCAAAGTTACATTGGCGTCTTCACATATGTCAACAAGAACATACAATTTTGCATGTAATATTAATGTAACATGGTAACAAAGTGTAACATTCATTCGTATCTAAATACCGAAAATTTTGTATTATATAATATTTATCTTGACAAGATTTCCTTATTATTTTATCTTTGATGCACTTATTAATCAAGGAAAATGAAACTAAAATTTGCATTTAATATGTGATACCTTAATAATGATTTCAAGATAAGTTTCTAAATGAGTACATATATTATACCAGTACCTGTAAAGTGATATGCACTACATGTATGATATAAGAGGAAGGATTAAATTGACATATAGAAACAGTTGATATACTTTACTTGGTAAATATAGATCGTTAAAAAGGTAAGAAAATACTTTTTTGAACTGCTTTCTAATTGCATATGTTAATACCGAGAATTGCCCATAGACCCATATATGGGCGCAAAGTGCCGTTTTCAAGAGAATAAAGTTAAAATTTTACAACTAATTCCGGACCCGATCATGTCTAAGTTACGAATAAAAAACGTTTTGTGATTTAATGTGCAAATGTTTCTTTTCAATTATGACAATGATTTTTTTTATCTGGATTTAAAATCAAAACAATTTGTTATCTTTGAATCTTATTAGATTAATTTGATAATTATCATTGTGATGAACTGAAAGAAACTGTGAAGTACGTTAATTGTTTGTGAAGTCAGTCATTCAGCAAATTTCGTTACCAAATAGGAAAAATCATCCTAACTGGTCATGACATTTCATTTCAAATACTAAATTCACCTGGATCAGAATAGGATTTGTTGCGGGTTTACAGCCTAAAATCGATTAAAACGGTAACTCTCAGCCTTCTAGACAAAAACATGACATAGGTTTAAAAAGAAATTGCAAACAGTGCAATATATACACTTATATCACTTAGATTTTAATCCACGTCTGTCAAAGAATAGATGAAAAGAAATTTAACGTTATTTGAAAAACGGAACAATGTAAAATATATATATCATGAAGGAGCAATTCGTCGGTTTTGTGAACTGAAGTGCAGGTAGCGTATTTACAATTTGCAAACGACATTCAATAATTCCGAGTTAAACCATGCATTTATTTATTTACATTGGACACACCCTCCCTATACGAAAGCTTTTCTTAAACATCACAACAAAACTAAGTGTCTGAACTTTGAGCTTTGATAAGGATTTTTTTTGGGATACAACATATATGTTAGTTCTCCATTATCATGATTATATATAGACTTTGTATTTATTTTTTTTAAGAAAGGGGCAGTACAAAAGTATATTTGAATTAAATTTGAAAATAACAGGATAATTTTAATCAGCAGATGTTGAAATTATCCTGATATTTTCAAATTTAATTTGATGAGCATATTCTCCCCTAATTTTTATTATATTTTTTCTTGCATAGTACTGTAAAGTTATATATCTATACAACTAACCATCTTCCTAAATAAGGCGTCGTTTAGATTTTGATATCTTGGTGGTTGCTTAATGTCCAGTGGCAAGTATTTCATGCATGTTCAAGACGAGTTTAGATTTTGAGAATAATGGATTCTACTTGAGCTAATTTTGATGACTAAAACGGAAATAAACAGATGGAAAGAGGTATTGTACATAACAGTTTAATGTTTGGTGATCTTATTTAATACACATCATGTAAGTTTAATCTAGATGAGAACTTTAGTGTTACATTACGGTATATGAGATAAATCTACCTGCCTTGTGGATATATTTAATAATTAATCGATGGTCATCTGACTGGTCACTTGCCGAAGGTGTATTTCTAAATAGATGGAATCACTTTTACATGTCATTGAAGTACACATGGGGAGATTCACGAGGATATTTTCCCATGTTGAAATTTAACGACCGAGAAGGAAACACAAAATTCCAAAATGCTAAAATTTTGTAACAACTTTAAACAATTCCCTAATTCTTACCAAAATTTGATTATCTTCAAAGACAATACGAATGCAAACTATGTGCAAATTAATTTGGATCCAAATTGAAAAATATGCTAGCAAAACTATTTATTAACCACCCGCCAAAAATCTATGCATGCATATATCGTTAACAAAGACTGAAGGACTAAAAGTGTGTCCGCTTTGCATTAAAGAGATTAAACAGCTTTTTTTGTATTTCCAGTATTTGTGTAAGGTAATTTCATTTGATTTATATTGTTTAATCAGGTGGTGCTGAAATATCCGGAACAAGCACCATGGTAAGAAAAAAAAGTAGATTTTTTTAAATAGTTCGGCCCATTTTCTTCTCGAATTATTCAAAGTTTAAATTTGAAATTGTCACTTAAAGAAGCTAATACCACTCATTTGACTCTTGTATACAAGTTGCGTATTTATTTAGTTCTAATTATTTACAAATACTTAAGGTTTAAACCCATGCAGTTTCGAATGATATTGATTCAAGATAGATATTTAAACACATTTAAGTCCAATTATTTATTATCATAAATCATTCTCGAATTTCAAATGTACATTCCAAGCCTTATCTTAATCTTAGTCAAAGTTGCAATTCAGCTACAAGTATAATCAAACAAAATTTGCGCTATAAATTCTTGTTAAACACCAGAAAATCACCATATTCAAACAGTTTTTAAGATGACTATGTTGATATTTAAGGTTCGATAACTCTAGTGTTAAAGGACAATCAGATAAATTTTACATAACAAATACATACTATAAACTGCGGTTGAGATGTATGCATGAAATTACTTATTTTGAAGGATTTAAATATAAAATGTTCGAATTATTCAGAATTTTGTGAAAAGAAATTAGTTTTGATTAGACAGGTGAGTGAAAAAAATTTCCATAAAATATTTTATTTAATTAAGCGTATTTGTATATTTATCATGTTTATGTCTGCCGAGGTGGTGAACATGATACCCCCAATTAAGAAACTGGAAACTTGTACAAATCTTACATTGAAAGGGATCAAAAGGGTGAAATCATTTGGAAATTATTGAGAGAGGTTTTTTCCACATATTATAATCACGTAGGACTATATCTTAATGATCATAAATATCTGAGCGTATTTTAGATTTGTTGAATCAGATACATTTACAGACACGTTCACACTTTAAAATGACCACAGTAACATGATGGAATAAGGAGCCAAGGAGCACCTGACCATCTCAAATAAGGATAAGGGAAGCTTGATTTTGTCCCTATCATGTTGCATGTACAACTGAAAAAAGGCATCATTTAATTTGGAATACCTTTGTTAAAGTGTTATTTCCATTTACTACATAGCACTGGGTCGATACCACTGCTGGCGGACTGTTACTACTCCTGGAAATCACCAGCTCAGTATTCAGTGCTTTGGTACTGCTATGATTAAAAACAAGTTATATTTCTAAAATTCGCCATTTGATAAATTAAGAATCCTTGTTGTCAGTCAGATGGTTCATAATGTTTCTACGTATTTTTCCGACCCTGGCTTTTAAATGTTTTAAAGTTTAAGCGTTCAATATGAAGGTAAATCCGGAAAGGCGATTCGACATTTATTAAGTGTTATAACTGGACCCACAAATTTCGATTGAACGCATTCAAAACTGGCAATATGCTACTGTGTGGTTGTCTTTTTTCCAAGATAATTTTAATTTGTGATCATGATTGCTTTTTCCCGAAAATTAGCTTTTTTATAATATTTTTTCAGGATAAACTGTAATACATTTATGCAAATAAGCCGGTCCGTATTTTTGTTATGGGGATGTATAAATACCCTGCAACGCCTGGTCTGTGTTTTTGTTAGATGCATTTTCTACTTTGTATCGATCTTATGAGTTATAAGCCCTTTTCAACAGACATTTATAGTTTGTTCTTATGTTGTGCTGTAACACCACTGTCCCAGGTTAGGGGAGGGTTTAGCGCTCACAAACATGTTTAACCCCGTCACATTCTGTATGTGCTTGTCCCAAGTCAGGAGCATGTAGTTGTAGTGGATGTCGTTGGTTAATGTTTGTCACATTTGTTTTTTGTAAATAGTTTTGCTATAAATTAGGCTGTTAATTTTTCCCAATTGAATTGATTCATATTTTTTATGTCAGGCCCCTTTTATAGCTGACTATACGGTATGGTATTTTCTCATTGTTGAAGGCCGTACGGTTACCTATAATTGCCTACATCCACTTCATTTGAACTTTGGTGGATAGTTGTCTCATTGGCAATCATACCACATCTCCATAATTATTCTTATTTTTATATACTAGTACTAGATCTAAAACTATAAGGAAAACACATTATAACAAAACAAAGTACAAAATATTAACGATTTTAGCGGATGTGACATTGGACCGCAGTAAAAAATGGATGAAATCTGGTTTCTTAAATATTGGTCGATGAGTATCGTGTTTGTATGCCCTAAATAGATATCCCGTGTCCTTAAATTTACGAGTGTACATTATCAAAGTTGACAACACAAGTTTCCCCATGTCATGGTCCACTTGAATATAATTGTATCTGTAATTTAAGATGCAATTTAGTACATTGTATATTAATAGCTAGTCGGTGTATTTTTTACGATACTTAAATGCTCAAATTGACTGTTTAATATTCTCATATTTCATTTTAAAGCCAATTATCTATTATATAAAGATAGATGGAAAAAATGAGAAAGTACATTATTTGCTCGTAAATAGGCGTTTAACATACTGTAACTGCATATCATAACGTATGAAAAAATTACTGAACGTAATTAAAACATGTTTAACTTACAAATAGGGTACATTTTATTGCGCTTTTTGAAATGTTCACACCATTTACTTGCGCATCATATTTGATCTACTGCATTAAATTTTGTTTTAATAGTTGAATCTTTATATAAACTATCCAGTCACAATAAGTTGCGTATAGTTTGCTCAGTGGTTCCTTCAATTTTAGTATTTTCTATGCAAGTTCAATCAGGCACACGTATTACCATGTGAACTCTATACTGCCAAAACACTCTAGAAACAAAACAGATAAAGTAACTAGCAAAGAAAATTAACCCTCCGAAAAAAAAATCGGTGCGTTTGTCGATACCAAAGCTGATTGTAAATTGAACCATAGACAACAACAAAAAACGGTGCGTTTGTCGATACCCATGCAAGCTGATGGTAAATTTAACCGCGTATACCACAACTAAAACAGTGCGTTGGTCGATACCAAAGCTGATGGTCAGGTGGTCCATAAGAGTAACATCTGTCAGGGTCCATTGACAACGGCCACCGATTTTGTTGGTAAAGTTATTGAAATTTTCTACTAATAAATTTAAAAACAAAGTTCTGTCAGAAATCCAACAGACCTATCTTGGATAGTTATTGTTATTTCTTGTATACTGCTTAATCATTGTTGATATATC